ACTCAGTGAATAGCTTCCTGTTAGTATACAGACCAATACCGTATTATACACACCACTGTTACTCCTTATAAGAAAATCAGGTCTGTGTGGGGCCTCATTATCATTTAAAAGGTCCTACAAGGTTCATTTATGCAGTTATTTACAAGAAAAAGGTAAGAGGACAGTACTGATAAAAAATGAGCCAAATTTATTTTTTTAATATGTTTCCATTATAACGTTAAGTGCACAAGTTGAGCCTAATGACTGCTGTCTTTGCAGTTCTTATGATGGTGAGGAAATCCTCATGTTTAAAGTTGAGCATGTCTCTGAAACACTGAATTGTTATCAGCTTAGTAGTACTGCAGCTCGGCGTTGTGTTTCTTAGGTTTGATCATGATTTGCATGAGACAAGGCTACTATTGGTTGCAGGTGTAAAGGTGCTTTTTAATTTTATGACAACAGGAATTATCCCGTGGAATGCCACACCAGGCAAGGCCTGTGGATCAACGCTAGGTGACATCTGCAACACCAATGAGGTAAGGCGTGCTTGTGCAAACATCACTCATCCCGGAAGTGGCACGCAGAGCAGGGTGACATAGGATTCTGTTTATTGAAGACTAAACACTGTTAACGCTGCTTGTCTTTTTTCAGTTCTACCTGTCTTATCACCTGTACATCGTAGCGTGCGCCGGGGCAGGAGCCACTGTCATCGCTCTGGTAAGCTTCCGTTTGGTCCCTCCATCCTCACGTTTTAGTCCATCTTCACATGGTTTGTATTAGCAGGTCATGTGTCCAGTGCTTTTCTTCTCATTCCCATATGGTTAATGTAGCCAAACCAATGATGATAACATAGTCTTTTCCAAAGCTCCAACTTCATTTTGCCGTTTACCCTCAGCTTAGATGGACATGACCCTATTTTGAACAGTTGTTTTTTTGTGCCATGATTAGGATTCTTTTTTTAGAAATGACACTTTTGCAAAAACTGTTAAAATTCTATAAAATTATACTTCATGATCTTTAACATTTTACTGCTGCAAACTTACTGGCCACTTTACTAACTTGTCACAATATTAGTGACGAGGAGGTCACTGGCATGTACTCTTACCACCTTTTCTGTTCTCTTCCACCAGCTGATCTACATGATGGCTACTACTTATAACTTTGCTGTTTTGAAGTTTAAGAGTCGAGAAGACTGCTGCACTAAGTTTTAAACCGTTTTAGGAACACAGTGCACCATTCAAGGCTGTGCTGAGTAGGCACCGTTGCCACTGACAACAGTTGAACTAAAAAAAACCCCAACAAAATCTGAGAATAGAAAAAAATCAACATCTCTCCATTAGTAATCACAAGACATGTAAATAGCTGACTGTATACTTCTCTTAGCATTTGGTATCCAGGGATAATGCTCGTCTGAGGACACCTGATGAGAGTTGTCTTCAGAGTGGGATGATGGTGTTTAGTTGACTGGTTTGTTCTGCTTTCCTTTATACTTACTTATTGAAATATGTCACCAGCAGAATTTTTTTTTTTTTTTAAATAGAAATGTGCGCAGCTAGAAATCCACAATAGTGTTATTTATATTTGTAATTTGTGAAGGTGGTTTTGGCCTGCACAAACCACACGAGTAAGTTAGATTAAAAAAAAAGACACACACGCAGTATTAAGAATGCAGTTATTCACCTTCCATTAGCTGGCGAGCTTCAACTCCTGAGACACTTGTAAAACAAGTGTGCAGGTTTTAAAAAAGCTGCCATTCTGAGATCTGATAAATACACTAGACTGCACGTGGCTCATATAGACGTACAACACGTGGGCATCTGATGACGAATATTGAAGGTGTTCTCAGGCTTAATATTTTTTGATTGACAGATTAGCATATTTGGTGTGGATGGATTTTAGTACAAACAATCTGTAAAATGAGCTGTGATGGCGGCAAAAGTGCCTTGTCCTTGTATTTCTTTGGTTTATTTGCTTAGCCTTAAAATCTTTCAGAACCGATGTGTGAAACACGGAAAACCTTCAGTATTATTAATTTTTTGGGTCATGAGTTAGATTCTAAACTGAACTAAAATGTTTTATTCAATGTGTTATGCTGATGAGTATTACCACAACCAGCTGTGTATTGTAGAATTCAAAGTAACTGCACATATCGAAAGTAGCAGAAATAAAGGGTTGGGCCAGTACCGTGCATATAGATCTGCATGAGGCCCTATTACTCGGATTAATTCCATGTATTTTATAAAAAGAGAAATGATCCTATTTTAGAGTACAGTATTTTTTTTTTTCTATGAGAGCTGATCCTGATATTACCCCAGCTACGAAGTTGGCGTTTTGTTTCATACATTTTCCTTTATTCTTTCTCAAAGTGCCATTAAAGAGCCATTTGTTTTTATCTTAACACTGAGCCTGCATGCTTACAGTTTTTAGATACTTTGATCTGTTTATAGTTACTTATACTCCATATTTCATATATTTAAATTTCTCCTAAGTTTTTCAAAGACTGTAGCTTTTACTTTCTTTATAAAATAAACAATCTTTGTTTACAAAAAGAATCCCCACCTGGTCTATTTATTATATATCCTACAGCTCAGATTTGCAAATTTCAGAATCTTGTGCTTTGCACTAACCTAAGCTTTTACAGCTCTGCTCATTTTGCATGTGCAGCCTCTCGCTATCTTCCTCCACTCATCACCTCATCTTTTAAGTGTCATTTCTGTAGTATTGTGTGTAGCGAGGTAATAACGCCGAGTATTAGTAATGATTGTAACAGCACTGTTACAATACCCGTAACATTTCTTTTTCCACAGTGTCCTTTTTTTGTTTAAAAAAAAAGCATAACTTTACGTTCGTGTATGTCCGTAATGTACGTACTGTAGCTCTGACTCCTGTAGCTTGCTTTGCATCTTTGACATGCTCACCGGCCATCCACCTCACCCTTCTCTTCCAGATCCACTTCCTCATGATTCTCTCAGCAAACTGGGCCTACCTTAAGGATGCCAGTCATATGCATGCCTACCAAGACATCAAAATGAAGGAAGAGCGGGAGCTGCAGGACATCACCTCACGCTCAAAGGAATGCCTCAATTCCTACACATAAGGATATTTCAAGCTTACAATCCACACGCACACATACATAAGCACACATACTTACAATAACAGACACTGTGGCCAACCACTGTGGGCCCTCTGGACCAAGGCGACTCTCAGCTAAAATAACATGCCAACTGACACTGTGCAGTACTAACCAGGCTCCTAACAGACTAATGCATCAGTGTTGCTTTCTGCACTAATTGTTTCACAACTGCTCTGTGAAGTTTCATTCATGCTAATTTTTATTTTTCATTTTCTGTAGGGAAGAGTGATCTGAGTTCTGATGTTCGTGTGTTTTTATAACCTTTGTTGTATTTTTTGCTGGTGAAGCTTGTGACATTGCACTATTCCTACACAGCACACCAGTGTTTCACAGTCTTGCTCGATCCTTCTTTAGTTTTCAGCTAAGGAAGATGAAACATTTTGGTTTTTGTTCTGTTTTGCAGATGTATTATACAAATGAACAGCCTTACATCCAGAGTTGTGCATCACACCATACTGACCTTTTTAGGGAAAGTAAACCAGATTCTTTTATAAAATAGTTGGTAATACATGCACTATAAATCTATAATCCTTGATGATTATGAATTTACTTGCATTTCCATCTCAGTTGGTGATTGTCTGAATGTTGTTCATTAGTTATGGATTTTTCCTGTACAGCTACTTAAGTCATGGCCTACATTACCTCTACCTCAGGTGAGCACTAGAGCCTATGGACAAACAATTCCCATTGCAAGGTGTAAAATAAACCAATTCCAGTTGTAAAAAGATGTCTCAAAGATATAGTAGATAGGTTTGTGTAGCTACACCCCCACACATGCACAACAGTTCAACTGATTCACAGTACTATAGACTTTGGATAATGCTACAAGAAAAACTTACTCTGACCTGTACGTATTCATTTAGGCACATAGGAGGGAAAAAACTAAAACATCAGTAATTGCCAATGAAGAGTTGTGATGGCTAATAATATAGCAGTGATTATCTGCAACATGCACAATATGATCAAAAATGACTTGATTTAACAGAAATCCTATTAATAAGCATAACTATGTCACATGTGTTTGTTACAATTTGAAAACAGAACTGAAGAAGTTCAGTTAAATTTATTACAGGTCAAATTTTTTCATTTCTTCTTACCTTTTTTCACAATTTTCTATAATTGTATATTAATGTGCAATTTTCACAATGTTAAAATAACAACTTGTAATCTTTATTAGCTGAGTTACAGGGATAATTCGAGATGTTACTTTGTTGTATAAAGACGACCACTTCTGTGGTGACCTGTGATGTACAGTTATGTACACTGACTTCAGTAGTTGGCAGTGTTTGCCCATTTCCTGTTTTTCTAACAGAATATAAAGCTATGTAGCACATTAGTTATAGATCTTTTTTTTTTAGGTTCTTTTAATCACTTGAGAAGTATACTTTGTTTTGTTGCCTGATAGTATGCCTGTATTTTCTATGTATGTCAAGGGCTTCCTCATGATTAACTGATACTTAACTTTCCAACTGTCAAGCAACAATTAGCCACAACAACAGTCCTTTAAACAGTTGTATAAAATTATAAATGGTAAATTCAGCCAAAGTATGAATGCCAGTGTTAAACAGTATCTGTTTGATACAGTGGTACAGACCCTACAGTGCTTTATGTAGGACTGGCAATAGGTGTGGTCGAGCGGATAGATGACAGATGTACATGAAGGTAATGTACGTCACATCTTGTCTTTGTATGTTGTGTTTCCTGTTAAATGAACCAAAAAAGTAAATACAAGGCTATCTATCAATCACCAGGAGGACAGTAATCAGTTAAAAGAAAACAAACAAAAACCATCCTGTCTGACTGGAAACCCCTTTATGAAACAACTTCACCGGCCTGTTGACTGTTTTTATGAAAATAAATAAAAATGTTTTTTAAAAACGTTCTTCCAATTGTGGTGCTTTTGTTCTTTGCATGATAGAATTGATTGGTATACAGATTTTAAAAAATGCATTTATTTGAATTTCATACAAAAAAGAAAACATGTAGGACTGATAAGCAAATTCTTGAAATATCTGTTTTTATACACTTCAGATTATGATGCCACAAACTGATGGTCAGCTCACCAAAAATCATCATCTTCATCCTTGTGTGAATATGCTGCAATGCTGAGACAAAATTGAGTTTATTAGTGAAAGCCTCGAGGGACAGAGTTAAAAAAAAAGTAAAACAGTTTAAAATTAACAACATGAATCCAGAACAACAACAAAAAAAAACCCTCAAGTATAAAGTACGACCATGATAAACCACAAAAGCAATTAAATGTTATTGAAAGAGGCTTATGTATGTATTAAAGTCCTGCACAGCTTTTGAATTAGAAAGCGGAAATAGTTTGTCTAGCCAAGTCAACGGTTTTAATTTACCTGTCTTCTTTATCCTCAGACAAACTCTTGGCCTCTGGGCTTGCATATTCTGCCTCTTCTCTTCGAGAGCTCTGTAGAAAAAAAACAATCCCAAAGAACTCCAGTCTGCATCGAGTCTCCTGTTTCATTTGTACAGAAGCCTCAGACAAACATGGATGCAACTTACCTGTGCATGTTGCTTCTCTCTTGCTTCCAAGACCATTTTCATGTATTTGTCCAGTGGATTTTCACTTTTAGACTCATTATATTTCTCTCCACTGATTTCTTCATCTACTCCTTTCTTAACCCCGGTTTCTTCTTCTTCTTCTTCTTCTTCCTCCTGTTTTGGATTTTCCACCTCTTGCAAAAGCTGATCAGAATGGGATGTTATCACATTAAACATTCATTTAAGGTCGCCTTTTATGAGAAGTTTAGATAGTTTAGCTTATAAAAAGGATTTCTGCAGGAAGTGGGTCTAAGATAATCATTACCATCTCTTTCTCTAGTCGCTCAAGTTCTTGCAGCTCTCTCTCTCTGGCTTCTTCCTGCTTCCTTTGTCTTTTTTCTTCTCTTTCTTTCCGCTCTCTTTCCCACCTTTGTTCTTCATCTTCTTCCTTTTCAGATTCAACCAAACTTTGTGGGAGTTCTAGAAATAACATGAGTCATCCTTTGTCAATTTGATCCTTTGGGTTTAAAAAGCAGTTTACTGAAAATTGGCGGCAAAATGAGCCAACTGATTTTTACAGTTTGACTTATGATGTACAGTAAAAAAAAAAAAAAGGGCTTGTATTGTCATTGGAAGTCAAGAAAGATTATGAATCGTTGATGAGAGAGCTAAGACTTACCCGTTTGGCCCTGTGAGTCTATTAGGTCTTTTGGGAGGTCTTGTGGGTGGGGGCCAGCAGGGGCCTCCTCGGAGAGAGGGACAGCAGTGTCCAGGAGAAGCTCTGGAATGTGGCCAGGCTCTGGAGGGAGACATGCACAAAGAGATCTTTTATGCCCCACCATAATGCAACAGGGCCAGAGGACCAGCACAGAATACATAATCAGCGGTCCTTCATCTTCACCATTGTGCAGGGCCACTGAAAGGCCAGTCACACACTCATTAAAAAACAGCCATCCAAAAATTCTAGGCCTCCATACTGGATACATTACACATTTTGTTACATTAGTGATTAAACACTATCAACATATAGTTAATCATTTTCTAGAAATATATTCTAGTGACAGATGGAGCAAACAGAAATTAATCACACAGCACACTTTTCAGCACTCGCATCATGCACAGCAGTCATGGAATTAAAATAAACAGCACATAAACTATGAGTGTTTATCCTGGGATACAGTGAAGATTTTCCAGTATAAGAGGAGAGCTATACTTCTACAATAGATCCCCAGGGAACTTGTCATCTCCACTGAATGTCTTGTAGCTAGTCAAACAGCATGAAGCACTACTATAAAAGAACTTTATGTTCTAACAGTTTAAAAGTTCCCCTTTGATCACAATTTATGGCCCAGAACCTCTTCCTCAACAGCAATGACGCGACCAGACTCCTGAAGCTCAAAGTCGGTTGTATGAGTCACGTACACTGCAAACATTGGCTTCAGAAATACATGACCACATTCTATTTGATTATGCTTTGAACAATAAGGGAAAAATACTAAACAAAAATCAACTAACAACAATGAACAACACTGAGTACCTGATAATCCTCCAGTGAGATCTTCAAGGCTTATCTTCTCAGGCTGTGGGGAAGACTCTGAGCTGGAGAAGACTTGCTGTAGCTTTGGTGGACTGAAGGACACAGTGGCAACATAGGCATTGGTATTCACTCTCTCATCATAAAATGTATGCGAAACACTGCACTGTCCTTGAAAGTGATGCCAGATGATACCTGGAATGGTCGCGTGCTGTGCTCCTGAGCTGAGGACTGCGAGGTGGACTGAGCTCGGAGGACAAGTCCTCTGAGGTCACCACCTCATTGTGGAGGGCAGGAGAGAGCTGCCTGTCAGGCGACAGCTGTGGAAGCAGGACTGCAGACACGACTGGCCCTAACAGAAGGAAGGACTTAATATTAAAAAACACATCTGAGGTAGAAACGTGCTCAGAGACTGATGTGTAAAGATCTGGACAGACTGATCTGAATTTTCAAATAATTTCCATAGAAAATATACAGTTTACATGCATGTGTGCAGCATATAAGCACTGAGAACATAAATCATTATTCAGTTTTTTGACATATTACCTTCTGTAAGCTCTCTTTGAAGATTATTCTTGAAGGAAGATTGTGTTGTAGGGGATGGGTGCTTGGATAGACCCAAGCTTTCATCTGGAGCGTTTCCATTTTTTAGGAACAAAGGCTCGGTCAGCGAATAGAGACTGTGGTCAACAAAACATGTGGCCTGTGGCTGGTTATGATCTTTTGAGAAGGTAACTCTTGATTGTGCAGATGGTAAAGTCTTTCTGGTGCCATTGGAGGGGGATTGGATAGACTGAGGAGACAGTGGTCTGTGTGAGATCTTTGGTTTGTGGGCTAAGTGACTGTGTGAACGGAGAGGGTCGTGTTTTCTAAGAGGAGAGTCAGGGAAATGAGAAGGATGTGGTTGTTGTGGGGAAAGAGGTCTTGGGGGAAGCATGTGTGAGATGGTGGAGCGCACTGCCCTCTGCTGGTAGTTCCTGTAAGCTTCCTCTAAAGTCTCAGCCTCCCTCTGCAGCTCCTTGATCCGAGTCTTAGCTTCAGCTACCAACTCCAAATCAGAATCTGGTACATCACTCCAAGGCGATTTGCTTCCTCCCAGATTGCCATCTATTTCACAAACATCATAACCCACCCTGGCCCTCAGCAGAGTTCTGTCCACATAGATGTCAGGAGGAACCAGCTTGTCAGCGCCGAGCTCTAGTACAGAGCGATCAACAAGAGATGGTTTGGGATTACGCAGCACTTCATTTTCAAGAGCTGCCGGGATCACATGAGTCGCACAAAAGGAAGAGAAAGGGGAAAGGCAAACACGATGAATGTTGAGTACTACTACAGAATACAATCCACCATGAAAAATCAGAAAACCCCCCCAAAGCTAATTAGAAATAATTACATGGGGCTACACCAGAAATAGGCAGTTAAGACTAGAGTGTTGATTTCTTTCTTGCTTTTACTCAGTTTTCTATAAAGACCATCAAAAATACAAATAAAAGGATGAATCAATATGTGCAATGTGTAACTGTGTACAGAACTGTATGAGCTAGAAAAGAAAGCAAGCCTGCTTATGAAAAGCAAAAATAAAGTCAACTGTACTTAAAGCAAGATCATCTGATGTGACTAGCCACATTAACAGGGATGCCACATCAAAGTGTACCTTGCTGAGTTTGGTGAAGCTGCATTTTAATGTCCTCAACATGGTTTGCCATCCACTGGGATTTCTCTTTACACTCTATCAGCTGAGCTTTGAACTGGGCACATTGCTCCATCTGCAGAAAAAAATGGACACAAAAGTGAACGACATGTATATTTTTTGATAACCAGAGATTTGAGGGCATACTGCGAACACAAATTCTTCAAGGTGAAGAAAAATTGTTTCCCACAGCAAGGAGCTGTGATGTAGCTGACCTCACTCTGGAGCTGTGCCTGCAGCACCTGTTTCTGGTTGTCAAATTCTTCCGCATCCAATCTGCGAGCACTCTGTAGCCTCTGAAGCTCCAACTGCAAGGATAGTTGCTCTTTGGACGGTTTGCCCAAATCTGAGACAGGATATATACGACTTAAAACATAGCATAAAAGTACAGCTCATTTCCCCCAATGCATTTGTCTTCAGTGGGAAAACTGTCAGATGAAAAAGCATCTGGTTTTGTATGGAGCAGTTCTTGACCAGCATGACATTACAGCACATGGGGCCCATTATCATGTCACTGCCTTTTGTTAGCACTGAGGAGAGAGGCCCACTGCTCCTTTGCCCCATCTTTAGACAAGATGAATACTGTAAGCCTCAGAGAGAGGTAAGATTTTCTTTGCCATGGGTAAAAGGACCTCTGTCTCTGCTCCCATTCACTCATCCCCCTTTCCTCATTGGCTGTCTGCAAAGCTACAAACAAGACACAGAGGCCCTACTTTGGCAGGCAAGACACATTCAAGAAGACTCAGCTCAGCCAGAGGCAGTGGGATAAGACTACCAAAAATGCTTCACAGTACACTGCACCTTACACAGTTCACAATGAGCCTATACTCATGCACTCTGAATGCAACACAGGAACTTCAAGAACCTCGCTTATGGCAAAGACTGCAAATATTCAGACTTACCAAAACTAGGATTGCATTTTAGACACAATAAATCTGGTTATATAGTCCCAGGCTATAAGATAATCAGATGTGCATTATTATAAACAGAGTATGCCTGATTGTGTTTTTCATGTTTTTAACTGAATAGGGACACTCTCCTGGTAGACACTCGAGAGCAACCACCACTCTCTACCTGCATGAAGAAGCCGTTTCTCCTCTTGGGCCTCCTCCAGCTGTTTCTTTAGCAGCTGCAGCTGCCCCTGCAGCTCTGCTTTC